TTTAGAAAGACACACTGTCTGCTTGAGTGTCTTCCATCAGTTATATCTTAGCAAGGCCGGGCTGCCAGGACTTGGGAAGGTGGGGTTAACAGATCTCTCATGAGAAGGAGTGCCTGTCAAGCATATGAGAAAAAAGAAGGAATAACTCCAACCCCAGAGACAAAAAAACCCAGTCACTGATACCCCCTAGGTCTGCTCAGATCTCTACACCCCTGCTCAGGCAGCTGACTCCTCAGCAGGGTGTGAGTTCTACAGGATGGGGTGACGGGGAGTCAAGAGGGTAAAGGTATTTCATTCTCCCAGGTTGATCCCATACGGAAGAGAGTTCTCCACCCAAGAAAGATGGCATCTGCAGTGTGGGAGAGGGACTCACCACAAAGATTCTGGAGGCTATCCCTTCAGCTCTCTCCTCAGAGCCACAAACCTCAGTCTCTCCTCACAAAACTCTTGTCCACTCTGCCATAGTCCAGGGGGAGTGGTTGCAAATGAGATTTTGTGCATTTTCCCTTTAAGAGGGTACCTGTGTCTCTAGCAGAGTCCTGTCTTTCCTGGACAGACAGAATCCCCACTAATTTTTACAGCTAGATGTTATGTGGTCATCTCTTCTTGGCTCTGGTGCTCTGGACTAAGGAGCCTAGTGTGGGGTTAACACTCAACATTCTTCAGGGGGAACCTTTGCAGCTGAGATATCCTTCCAGGATCTCAGCTGTTGCCTATGGAAATGGTGCCAGCCTTTTTCCCATCTCTGCTCTTTCTACCAGTCTTCTGTAAATCCTTGGTTATAAGACTTCTGTTCAGCTAGTCTTCAGTTGGTTATTCAGACTGATTGTTCTGTATTTCAGTTGTAATTCCAGTTTTGTCCTGGGAGGTGGTGAATGTAACTTCTACCTACTCTGCTGCTATCTTGGACTCCCATACAACTTTTAAAAATGAGAATGAAGAAGCTCACTCTCTCTAAGTTATATTAAATGAATGATCTCCAGACTGATGAATGTCAGAGGGATGGAGAACGGTGGGTGGATAGAGGGGGAGAGATTAACCAAAGAATTTATGTGCATATATGCACAAGCCAAAGACATGGACAATGGTGGGGAGAGGGACTGGAGAGGGGGATGGGACGAGGTGGAATGGGTCATTGGGGAGAAAAAGGAACATCTGTAATATTTTAAACAAAAATAAACCAAAAAAAACCCCAAATAAATAAATAAATAAATAAATAAATAAATAAATAAATGATCTCCAACTTAGAGTAAATAAAAAAGAAGGTGAAAAACAATATGTAAAGAATCTGCTATTTATGTTAAAAAAAACACTCTTTTTGGGTGCTTTTTATATATAAAATTTGAAGTGATACACAATAAACTCATGACAGTATGACATGTCTTGTTTTCAGGAAAGGAAACGGTATTGCAGAGGGACAGAGATAGAAGAGAGACTTTTCACTGTATACAATTATATACCTTCAAATTTTGAACTTTGTGTTTATATTGTTTTTCAAAGAAATATAGTGGAAAAATTTAAATATATTAAAAATCCCACGTGTATAATGTTCATATATATTTATAAAACCATATGAAAATAAGAAGATTTAGAATGATACACATCAAACACCAAACCAACAAGTATTATGCCTTAGGAAGGGGAGGTGGAAAGTTAGATTTATGTGTATGGTGGATTTTTACTTTATGTTGCTTAAATTTAAAAAATGAGATTTTCTAATTACACAAATCAACCTCATAAAAAGAAATCCTATACTATATGGCTTGGGCACTGGACCAAGAGAGTACAGCTTTTTGAAAAAAAAACTTCAGCCGTTAATGTATGAAAGTCTCAGCCCTATTAACATGTTTGTAACATCATTTCCTGGAGTCTTTCTGATAAGTTGAAGCAATAGGACCTTCTTTTCACCACTCAAAGTCAAGAAAACACACAGTGAAATATACAGAAAATGCATCATAGAATTGTACACTTTAAGCATATAATTTTATTAACCAATGTCACTCCAATAAATGTAAATTTTTTTTTAAAAAGGAAGTGATTATCCCTGGCTAGTGTGGCTCTGTTGCTTAGAGTGTTGACTGGTACACTAAAAGGTTGCAGGTTCATTTCCCTGTCAGGGCACATACCCAGGTTGTAGGTTTGATCCCAGGTCAGGGTGTATGTGAGACAACTGATTGATTTTCTCCCTCACATTGATTTCTATCTGTCTGTCTGTCTGTCTCTTTCCCCCTTCCTCTCTCTCTAAACTAAATTTTTAAAAGTTTATAGAAAGGAAGTAATAAGACCTTACCATGGAAGTACTCAAAATAAAGCCGTAAACTAACCTTTAGTCTTATAATGAACTCAGTGGAAAATACTGAAATTTCCTATATCAGGAGAGCTATCTAGGGGGCAAAGGATATACAAAGAAAAGCAGTAAGGAACCACTTTTACAATTGTCTTAAAGGTACAACTCATATTTCAATAGTGTGTATTCTTTGGAATATTAAAATGAACTTTGTGATTTAGAGTCAGAAATACTCTTTTTAAACCTGGTTACATTATATAGTAGCTGTGTGAATTTGTGTAATCAACTACCCTTATAGTTAATCAACTATTCCTATTTTGTTACCAATCTCAGAAATTTATTAAAAAATTAAATAAGATATTATGAAAGTACATTGTAAAATCTATAATGCTGTGAAAACATTATCATTTTTCATCACCCATCTTCCTCCATATTGTCATAAAGGACATTTTCTCTTTATTCTCAGAATCCCATGGCAACTTTTCAAACATGTAACTCCAGAAACTTTCTGGTTCAAAATTTGGCATTATAAATTGTTTCTGTCACTGCATGGGAAAAATAATTGAAATTTCATAGTAATACTAAAAAAATATGTATTAATAGGAAAACAAAATAGAAATTTGATTTTGAGCTTTATGTGTTTTTGAACTCTTAGAAATGGGGAAAGGATAGTATAAACATTTTTTCTTTTTTCTTAAATTTCAGTTATCTACCTCGTATTCTACCATGCCATCTTTGTGTTCTTTACCTGGACTTACTGGAAGTCTATTTTTACACTCCCTCAACAGCCAAACCAGAAGGTAAGTAAACTGATTACATCATAAAGGCTAAAAACAGAGGAAAGTAGAAATGCCAATAAGGCAAGATGGGGGTAAAAGAGAAGCAAAAAGCCTTTTGCTACAAAATGGAGATTTGGGGCAATTTTAAAAAAGAATTCTTAGTGATAAAGATAAATTAAAGTAGTACTGCCTATTGAAGGAGTTTGTGAAATCACCAACCGTGAATATATTTAAAACTAAGAAACCACTGCCTGCACTGGTGATATAATTAGAGAAACAAAAACCAATTTGGCTTCTGAAAACTCATTTAGTTTTATTCTATGAAACTATTATTTTAGAACCCAGTAAGGCTCTGGAAGACAATTGTTAAGAAAAAGTTACAATTGTTAAATTGATCATTTTCAACTTGTGCTCCTTTGAATCAAAGTGTTTCCTGCAATATTTGATAATCTTTAGAAAATAATTTATAATCTTATTAGGCACTTATAATAATATGTGACTACTGTAAAATAGATTCAATTCCAAAGTAGAAACATTAAAAACAAAAACAATGGAATCAAATTGGTGCACAAGATAAAACTAATTAAGCACAAAGGAAGGCAGTAATGTGAGAATTGATGAACATAAAAGGTATAATGTGAGAACTGATGAACATAAAAGGTATAAGCTTATAAAAAATAAACAGCCAAATTGTACAAGTCCTTTTTATAAGTAATTATTTGAAATACAAATGAATTAAGCTATCCAATTAAAAGGTAGATATTTGCATAATGGATAAGCATTACTTATCTTTATGCTGTCTAGAAATGAGTCATTTAATACCAAAGAGGTAAATAAGTGAAAAGTGAAAGGATGTAAAATGTTATTCCAATTAGTAACTAAAAGAGAGCAACAAAGGTAGCTATACTAATGTCACATGAAATAGGTTTTAAGCCAAAAACTTACAAGACACAAAGAAAAAAATGTCTTATTGAGTGATGTCAGAAAGATGGCAGAGTGGAAGATACCAGCTTCCCCCCCCCTCAAAAGAAAACCCGACAGCTATGCATGAATGAAAATAGCCATGGGAGGGTTAAAGAGTCTAATTAAGCCTGCCACCAACAAGCTTGTGCTTGCCCTAGACCCCAAAGCCTTGCCTGCTCTATATGCACCTGCTATAAGACCCCAGTTCCACAACCATTCCACCCATGCCCATCCATGCTCCAATCCCTGTCTCCATGGCCACTCTATATACCAGTACCTCAGACACCAGAGCCACTGACACCACAGAATATCCCATGCCACAGATTCCAAAAACACTATCACTTCATACATACCTGTGCTCTGGTCTCTGAATCTGTGGCTACTTTGCAAGTGTTTGCAATATGGAAACTGAAACACTGCTGCAGTGGATTCACCTGTCCTCTTGAGCTCATGACCAAAGCTTCTCCACAAGTACCCAAACTTGAGATAGCCAAAGCACCACCATAGCAGACTCACATACTCATTTATGTACCACATATACCTGCTCTCTGGATCTTAGTGTCATTACTACTCCGCAAGTGCATTCATCTAACTCAATGGAGCCCATGCCTTAGACCCCAGGGCCTCTGTAGCTCTGTGAGCCTGTGTTCTGGACCCAGGTTTTGTGGCTGTTTCCCAAGCATTTTCACCTCACATACTATTATCAACACTGCAGTGTGGGTTCCTGTACCCCAGGCACTAGTACCACTGCCCCAGACCAAGAGCCACTCCAGTAGCTTCATGCATGCCTTCATTCCAGTCTCACTCTGTGGCTACTCTATGGTCACCCATGCATTAAACTCCACTGACACAGCCACTGTAAGTGGCTCAAAGGATTCTCTCAGCCATGATTTCCACTATGGGAGATAAACCTTTGCAACATAAGAGCAGAGTGCAAACTGCGGAGGCAGGTGTCATGGCAAGACAGATATTTAAAAAGTTTCTTCCCCTCTTTAACTATTAGTTGAAAGAAGTGCTGGAAAAACTGTAACCAAAGGAGACATTATGTTTCCAGAAAAATCTCAAAGAAAAGTATTGCAAGCAACAGTAGTAGCTGTTGAATTGCCTTCCAAAGGAAAGGGTGGAGAGATTCAACCAGTTGGCGTGACATTTAGAGATAACATTTCTTTTTGTAGAATATGGAGGCATCAGAGTAGTTCTAGATGACAAGGAGTATTTCTTATTTAGATATGGTGATATTCTTGGAAAGTATGTAGAATAAAATGAATCACTATTGAAATGGCATCACATGAAGCTGCCCAGTCCATTGAAGTTCTGAAATCTTTCATCATGTAAATAATTTCTTTGTCTCTTTTATAAGAAACTAATAATATTCAAACTAATGAGATTCAGTGTCTCTTAAAATTTAGTTTCATTGTACTGATATAAAATTTTTTTAAAAAGAGAGAGATCAGGAAGACCATAGCAGCCTTCACCACTGAAGACCCTGACAGACCTCACTGCTGCTTCAGACACATGCAGTCTTGGTCACTGAGGACACCTTCAGCCTTTGCTGATGCTGATGACAACTGAAAGAGCTTCACAGAGACTATGACACTGTACCTTCCCTGGAGCTGAAACTGCCTCATCCCATCCAGCTGGCACCTTTGTATCCACCCACAGGTGAAGGTATTTTTCCCACTGAAACCAGTCCTTAAAATCAGGAAGAGGTGAGTGCTTCATAAAATGTCAACACATCAATACAATGCTTCAAGAAACACAAAAACTCAAGGTAAAATGACACCACCTGAGGAACACAATATTTTAGTAACCAACTGCAAATAAATGGAGATCTTCAGGAAAAAACAACAACCTACAAATAATTGTTTTAAAGAAGCTCAGAAAACTACAAAACAACACAGATAGAAAACAACAAAATTAGGAAAACAATACATGAACAAAAAATGAAGGTATACAAAAAAATCATAAAAATTACCAAACAGAATTTCTGGAGCTAGAGAGTACAATGAGTGAAATGAAGAACTATATAGAAAACATCAATACCACACTAGATCAAGAGGAAGAAAGAATTTTCAAACTCAGAGAGGTCATTTGAAATTACCCAGTTAGGGAAACAAAAAGAAAGAATGAAAGAGTGAAATAACTCATGGAAACTGTGGGACATCATCAGGCAAAAAAATATATGCATTATGGAAATAAAAGGAGAAGAGAAGGATGAACATGAAGTTTATTTAAAGCAATAATGGCTGAAAACTTCCCAAATTTGAGGAAAGACATGGATATTCAGGTATATAACATTCTAAAGTCCTTAAACAGTTTCAAACAAAACAAGACTTCATGAGAACACATTATAATCAAACTTTCAAAAATCAAAGGCAATAAGAGAATTTTGAAAGCAAGAAGAGAAAAAAGGCTGTTCACTTACAAGGGAACCACACTAAGGCTATCAGTGGATTTCTCAGCAAACACCTTGCAAGCCACAACAGAATGAGAAGATATTTGAAAAATGCTGGTAGAAAAAAATACCAACAAAAATTGCTTTGCCCGGTAAAGCCGTATTTCAGAAATAAAAGACAGACTTTGCAACCAAAAAACAAACAAACCAAAAACCAAAACATTATGGAGTTTCTAACCGGGTAAACTGCCTTACAAGAAATGTTGAAAGGATTTCTTCAAGCTGAAATCAAAAGATGCTAATTAGTAACATGAAAACATATAAATGTTAAAATCTCACTGGTAGTGGATAGTATATAGACCAACTTAAAATACTCCAATACTATAAGGTAGTGTGTAAATCATTTTAAACTCTAGTATAAAGGTTAAAAAGGCTAAATATTAAAAATAACCTTAGCTAAAATAATTTATTAATAGACACACTATATAAAGATATAAATTGTGAAATCAAAAATTTTAAATGTTTGGGAGGAAATAAGGCAGTGCTTCTGCATCCAATTGAAGTTAAATTTTACAAGCTTCAAATGGAATGTTTTAAATATAAGATTTTTTTGTAAGCTCCATGGTAACCACAATAAGAAACCTTATAGCAGATACACAAAAGATAAAGAGAAAGAAAGAAAAGCATACCACTGCAGAAAATAATCAAACAACAATGGAAATCAGCAAGATGGAAGAAAGGAACATAGGAACTATAAAACAGCCAAAACACAATTAACAAAATAGTAGAGTACATGTTTACTTACCAATGATTACTTTATTTTATTTTTTTTTAATGTATCTTTATTGATTTCAGAGAGAGGAAGGGAGAGGGATAGAGAAAGATAGAAACATCAATGATGAGAGAGTCGTCATTGATCGGCTGCCAACTGAGGATCAAGCCCACAACCTGGGCATGTACCCTGACCAGGAATCGAATCGTGATCTCCTGGATCCTAGGTTGTTGCTCAACCACTGAGCCATGCCCGGCTGGGCACAATGATTACTTTAAATGTGAATAGATTTAAATTATCTAATCAAAAGACATAGAGTGGCTGGTTGGATTTAAAAAAACCCCAAAAAACCAAACCAAAACAAAAAAACATGCTGCCTATAAAACAAAACAATCACTTCAGGTTTAGATGCACATTAGCTGAATGTAAAGGAATGAAGAAAGATATTCCGTGAAAATGGAAACGAAAAGAGAAAAAAGGTAGCTATGCTTACACCACACAAAATACAGTTTAAGTAAAAAACTGTTACAGAAGGTCATTATATAAAGATAAAGGGGTGAATTCATCAAGAAGATATACAGTATATATGCACCAAATATTGGATAATTTAAGTATATAAAAATTATCAACAGTACTGAAAAGAGAAATAGACAGTAATACAATAATAGCAGAGAACAGCAATATCTGACTTTTATCAATGGCTAGAATATTCAGATATAAAATCAATCAAGAGTGACTTTCAAGAGGGCAGTGAAGTAGGTGGGAGCTGCAATCATTTCCTCAAATTATCAAATTGGAAATAAAACTAAATTAAAAACAATCACTCTGAATAACCAATAGAAGACTAGCTGAAGAGGATCCTTATAAGCAAAGATTTACAGAAGCCACATT